TTTAAAATATTTTTTTACAATTGGACATAATAAATAATTATCAGAATATTATAAATAATATTTTTTGAGAATTATTATATTTAGAAAAATTATAAATACATATTAAAACAACTAACTACATTTTTTTAATGTATTATTTTCTCAATTTGAACCATATATTGAAACAAAAATCATTACTCAAAGCGAATTTATCAAAATTTAAAACTTAAAATCACCATTATATAAAAGATTTTATTTGAAACTTTCATTTTATCCTAGTGTGAAAATATGTATTAAATAAAAAAAAACAGGTAGTTTATAAAATATATTTTTAATAATCATTTAATAATTCAATGATAATAATTAATAAATTTTTACAAAATAACTAGGTATGTCAAGTCTAGCCAGGAATAACTAGTAACAACTGCTACTAGTAAAGTCAACGAGTCAACGCACGTTATCCTGTTCATTAGAAAATTGTGGCCTACATGAGTTGACGTTGTCCAAATTATTTGAAATTGTCAAATCACCCAAAAGAGCTCTATCGTTAATTACAAGTAGCTTCACAAAATATATACTCGCATACAATTACAATAATTAAACCTAATACAAGTTAATTATGAATAATCTGATTGATCTTTTTACTTGTGTGAAGAATAAAAAATTTTAAATTTAACTGCTCTTGACCATAATATTTTTCACCAATTTGATAAATTAAGAGAAACACTACCCTTCTTATATAGTCCACAGTGTTATTTCGGCGTATTAAACTTTTTAATTAATAAAAAAAAATTTAATATGATAGAGTTTAAACCATTTCGAACTACAATATTTATATTAATAACTTCTATTAATTCATATAACATTTAGCTTTATGAAACGCTATTAAAACAACTAACAGCTACCAAAACAGTTAATTTTGCCAAACAGACCCTTAGTTATGGACTAAACGTAGCCTGGAGACTCCTTACATATAGGGTTGAGCAAACGGCCTGCTCGGTTCAATCGAAGTTTCTTTACAACAAATCGAATCAGACCAAAAAATGCATATGAACCGGTTGATTCGGTTTATTTTTATTGATTTTTACCATTTTAGTTCGGTTTTAAATCAACCGATAAATTTCTGTGTAATCGAATTGAACAGAGCAGCAAATTCAGTTCAAAACGAACGAACCGACCAATCGAACCTCTCTTGGACACCTAATCAAAGTGAATTGAAATGGATCAATTCAGTTTTCGGTTCGGTTCGATCATTAATTTTGCTCACCCTTACTTGCATATTCCAATGAAAGAAGTCTATAATGGTAGGAGACGGATTCTGCAAAACATGCTTACCTGAATCTAGGAGACGGATTCTGCAAAACATGCTTACCTGAATCACCATAAACAACTAAATTAGCTAGACAATCAGCTGTCTGATTAGCTTCCCAAAAACAATGTTTAAAATTCAACCTGCCAATCTCAAGCTAAGAGCTTATTACATTGAATCCACAAGTTCAATAATCTAAATACATTACATCTTATTTTATTAGGGTTCTAAAAAAATTGGTTATTACTGAAATTCGATGAGAAATTTTGATGAAACAATCAGTTTCTTTCTCTATTTGATGGAAAAAAATAAATTTTAAATTTCATGAAAAAACAATTTTTGTCCAATATGCTACTGTTAGTCCTCCAGTAATCTTTAAAGAAAGACATCATCCTACTTAAACGTAACGGAGACTTTGACTTTTAAAATGGAGACCATTTCAAAGTGAATATTAATTTCTTAATATGTTCAAAAATACTAGTAGCATATACATTTTCAATAACATAATTAAAATTTATATAATATTTGAACTATATTATCCTATAACTAAACTATATTATCCTATAACTAATAAATATTTTTTAAAATATTTTTTTACAATTGGACATAATAAATAATTATCAGAATATTATAAATAATATTTTTTGAGAATTATTATATTTAAAAAAATTATAAATACATATTAAAACAACTAACTACAATTTTTAAGTGTATTATTCTCTCAATTGTACCATCTATTGAAAGAAAAATAATTACTCAAAGCGATGTTATCAAAATTTAAAACTTAAAATCACCATTATATAAAGATTTTATTTGAAAATTTCATTTTATCCTAGTGTGAAAATATGTATTAATTAAAAAAAAGGTAGTTTATAAAATATATTTTTAATAATCATTTAATAATTCAATGATAATAATTAATAAATTTTTACAAAATAACTGGGTAATAATTAATAAATTTTTACAAAATAACTGGGTATGTCAACTATAGCCAGGAATAACTAGTGAAAACTGCTACTAGTAAAGTCAACGAGTCAACGCACCTTATCCTATTCATTAGAAAATTGTGGCCTACATGAGTTGTCGTTGTCCAAATTATTTGAAATTGTCAAATCACTCAAAACAGCTCTACCTTTAATTACAAGTAGCTTCACAAAATATATTATCGTGTGCAATTACAATAATTAAACCTAATACAAGTGAATTATACATTATCTGATTAATTTTTTCACTTATACAAGGAATGAAAAGTTTTAAATTTAATTCCTTTATACCATAATAGTTTTCACCAATTTGTTAAATTAAGAGAAACACTATTCTTTTTAAGTAATCCACAGTATTACTTCGGTATATTAAAATTTTTAATTAATAAAAAAATTTAATACGATAGAGTTTCAACCATTTCATACTACAATATTCATATTAATAACTTCTTAAATTACATTTTTTTTATATATATGGAGGAGGGAAAAACCACTAACAAAGATAGCAACAAAACAATTAGGATGTGTTCGTCAATATTATTTTAGGTAACTTTTAGCTTTTGGACTAGTCAAGATGCTAAGCATTGTTTTTTTATAGTATTTGATAATATAACATTTGAACTAGCTTTTAGAGTTTAAGATAGCGTTTTGTAGAAAGTTGAATTCATATAACATTTAGCTTCTCACATTTTATGAAACGGTACTAAAACAATTAATTTTGTCAAACAGACCTTTAGTTACTAACTAAATGCATGGCTGAGCAAACGGCAAATTCGGTCCAATCGAAGTTTCTTTACAACAAATCGAACCAGACCAAAAAATGCATATGAACCGATTGATTCGGTTTATTTTTATTGATTTTTACCATTTTAGTTCGGTTTTAAATCAACCGATAAATTTCTGTGTAATCGAATTGAACCGAGCAGTAAATTCAGTTCAAACCGAACAAACTGACCAACTGAACCTCTCTTGGACACCTGATCGAAGTGAATCGAAATGGATCAGTTCAATTTTTGGTTCGGTTCGATCATCAATTTTGCTCACCCTTACTTGCATATTCCAATGAAAGAAGTCTATAATGTGCATATTCCAATGAAAGAAGTCTATAATGGTAGGAGACGGATTCTGCAAAACATGCTTACCTGAATCACCATAAACAACTAAATTAGCTAGACAATCAGCTGTCTGTTTAGCTTCCCAAAAACAATGTTTAAAATTCAACCTGCCAATCTCAAGCTAAGAGCTGATTACATTGAATCCACAAGTTCAATAATCTAAATACATTACATCTTATTTTATTAGGGTTCTAAATATAATCTAAATACATTTGATTTAAGTTTTTATTTAATCATATTTTTCGCATTTTATTTTAATACCATAATAAAGAATTTTAATCAATAACAAAAAAAAGAACATCCAATTTAAAAATCCTTGAATGAAGGCTAAAAATTAATGTCTCAATGTCTTTAGACACATGTGGTATAGAAGAACTTTTAAATGATGAATTTCAAACCATTCAATTAAACAAAATCTATGTCTCTTTCACTTTTTCTTTTTGGCTGGCGCAATAATTAGATATCTTTATAAAAACGTGGCCACGTTATTTGAAAAGATCAAAAAGATTTTTTTTTTTTTTTTTTTTTTGAGTATTAGACGAAGAGGTTATTTAAAGTAGAATAAAAATTTTTTATTAAAATTTAGAATTAAAATTATGTGTTCTGATAAATTTTTTTTTTTTTTTTTTTTTTAGTTTTTACGCTATCAATATCCAATGTAATTTTTTTTTTTTTTTTTTTTTTTTAGTTTTTACGTATCAATATCCAATGTAAAGCCAAAATCGATGCTACCAAACATGGGAGGTAATAATTATTATTTTATTTCTTTATTTTATTTATTTATAGTTGCATACGAAACGCGTGTAAGAATGCCGTGCATAGTCAATGTAGACAGAGCAGACGAATTGGGCCAGTCTGTCTAGCACGGGCTTTTGAAAAAACAAAATTAATAATAAAAAATTATACTCTCGTGCTTTCAGTAATTTTTTTTAGGTTGTCTTTTACACGTATTAGGAAATACAATTAAATTAATAATTTTTCTTACATTTTTAAATATTTTTTTATATTAAGTATTAAATAATTGATCACCAAATTTACATCATACAATTATCATATCACCACCTGTCCATCTTCATCTTTTCCCATTTATTTAATCATTTCTCACTCCAATTAGATCCTGGGCCTTGATTCCAAGTATATATGCTGGGCATAATTGAGGTCCAAAGGGCTCCCGTCAGCCCAAATAAATGGTTCAGATTTTCCAACTTCAGGCTCAACTAACGCGTTGTTTGGCAAAGAGAGAAAGAAAAATAAGAGAGGAAAATAAAAAATGATTCCAGTATTCATTTTCTTTTTTATTTTTCACTCTATGATTGGATTGGAAGAAAAATAAATGGGATAAAGGAAATTTAATTTTGTACCTTGTAAATGCAATATTTTCTCTCTAAAATAGAGAGAATCCAAATTGGTGAGGCTAGAGGAAAATTATTTTCCTTCCACCCTAATTTTCTCTTGTGGCTGTGGATTGGGCTCATTTGCCTCCATGTAAGCTGCCAAATGATAACAAATGGTTCCATTTTTACTGATTCAACACTCCGGCAATCAATACTGATCGGTGCCAATCAATTGCAAATTTTTATAAATATAGACATTCATTGAATAAGTTTTTCGGCG